CAGTTTCTGTCGATGACGAACAAACATCGGGGCAGATAGTGGCTTGGTGAGAACATCAATGACCTATTCATATACTGGAACCGCTTGTACCTGCAAACGTCTAGCTGCTACAAGTTCTCGAACAAAGAATAAATTCAGCTCAACATGTTTAAACTTTGAATGAAGGACCGGATTGGAACACACAGTAACAGTGCTTGTATTGTCACACCAAAGGATTGGTTTTCCATGAAACGAGCACTGCAACTCTTTGAACAAGGACACAAGCCACATGATTTCGGAGGAAGCTGAGGCAACATTGCGATATTCTGCTTTAGTAGTTAATCGAGCAACCACCTGCTGTTTGCGAGAACTCCAGGATACGAGATTGCCACCAAAGTAGATGCAATATCCTGATGTGGATCGCCTGTCATCCACATCAGCCCCCCAATTTGCATCAGCAAAGCCCACCAACGATAGTCGAGAGGAGGATGAAAACCTCAAACCATAGTCTAAAGTTCCTTGCAAATACCGTAGAATTCTCTTGACCGCCTGAAAATGCAAGTCTCTAGGAGCTTGCATAAACTGACAAACACGATTAACAGCGTACGCAATGTCTGGCCTAGTGATCACCACATATTGAAGAGCCCCAACAATGCTTCTATAGTTAGCCACTTCATCAATAAGTGTTCCATTAGTGGAAGAAAGCTTACACTGTGTTACCATTGGGGTAGGAAGCTCCTTAGCTGTTGCAAATCCACTCCTTTATAACAATTCAAGCACGTACTTTTGTTGATTCAGCACTAATCCACTTGAGTCATAGTAGACTTCGATACCCAGGAAAAACTTAAGAATTCCAAGGTCTTTCAAAGCAAATTTCGCATGAAGTTTATTTATAACACCTTGGACTTCACTTGAGCAGCTTCCTGTGAGGATAATGTCATCTACATAGACCAGTAAATAAATCATACCAGCACTGGTTCCTCGAACAAACAAGGAGGCATCTGATCTTGACACATCAAAGCCCTCTGAAATCAAATATCCTTTGAGACTCTAAAACCACGCTCGAGGTGCCTGTTTCAAACCATATATTGCTTTGTTCAGTTTGCACACCATACTATCACCACCTTGTTCATAACCTGGGGGCTGCAACATATATACTTCTTCAGATAGGTGACCATTTAAAAAGGCATTGTTGATGCCTACCTGCCTGAGGGACCAGCCTTTGGCTAATGCAAGGGAAATAATGACACGAGCAGTAACCGGTTTTACCACAGGGCTGAATACCTCATTAAAATCAATACCGGGTTGTTGAAGAAATCCTTTGGCCACAAGGCGAGCTTTGTAACGTGCAATGGAACCATCTGCATTTCTTTTAACTTTGAAGAGCCATTTGCAACTTACAGCTCTCCTTCCTTTAGGAAGTGACCAATGTCCAAGTTTTATTTCGAGTCAAGACATCAAACTCTGCCTGTGCAGCAGCCTTCCAATGAGGGTGCAGAAAGGCCTCGTTAATTGTTGTAGGTTCTTTGTCACTAAAGGAGACGTTCAACACCTTTGGTTTTCGTATCCCATTCTTGCCATGTGTAACCATGGGGTGAATATTTTGGTCAGGCACAGTCTGACCAATGCATGAGGGTGACACAGTGTTACTCAAAGAGCACGCTTCATCACCAGGACGATGTGCATTACCAGCACCCGAAACCAACTTCTCAGCACCAGTCCCAGGTGGTGTAGGACACATAGAAGCATCTGCCGAGTCTGTAGCAACTTGCTCCTCATGAGGTAGCATTCCACCAACAGATGTAGATGTTGTTTCATTTGTATCAACAAAGTCTGCAACTACCTGTTCAGCAGGTAACAACAAATCATTAGTAAAAGAAGAATTTGCAGTATGCGGAGTGGTACCCTCGTTCACTCCACCTGGTCCAGAAACTGATGTTGTATCAATTGGAAGAAGGCCTTCAATGACCCCTGGAGAGCATGAACTATTTGTGGAGACGCTGCATCTTTGTTGAAAGGGAAAGACATGTTCATCAAACACCATATGTCGAGAGATGATTACACTCCCATCATCATCCAAACATCGATAGCCCTTATGAGACGAGCTATAGCCTTCAAAAACACACTGTCGTGACCTGAACTCCAGTTTATGACGATTGGCGTACCTCATGCATAGAAAACATGCAAACCCAAAAATACGTAGGAAGTCATACGCTGGTACCTTGTTATACAAAATCTCAAACGGGGATTTTCCATCCAGAACTGGAGTGGGCAGTCTATTAATGAGAACAAAGGCATAGCTCCAAAACTTTAGAGGTAGGGATGCTTGAGCGAGCATGGTTAATCCCATTTCAACTATATGTCTGTGTTTCCGCTCAGCTCGACTATTTTGCTCAGAGGTGCCTGGGCATGAGATTCGATGTTCAACACCATTTTGCTACAGCCAGCCCTTAAGCGATTGATATTCACCACCACCGTCTGTTTGCAACGCCTTAATTTCGTAGCCGAATTGTACCTCTATTAACTTGAAAAAATTAACAAAGCATGATTGTACCTCAGATTTTCTTTTAAGCAAATAAACCCAGGTGTATCTGCTTGTGTTATCAACAAAGGACACATAAAACGAAAAACCATCTGAAGAATTACAAGGAGCAGGACCCCAAACATCTGAAACAACTAATCGAAATGGTTCATTATATTGCGAGGTAGAAGAACAAAAGGGAAGTTTGTGAGCCTTCCCTTGCATACAAGCAACACACACATGTGTCAATTTATTCTTATGAAATGAAACATTACAATGCTTCATAACAGATTTTACTACATCACTAGAGGCATGACCAAGGCGTTGATGCCATAGGTCCATAGGATCTGAAAACACAGCAACATGGTTTAGCTGAGCATCCGAGTACATCTCAGCAAAAGGGAGTAGATGATAAAGCCCTTCATCCGTGAGCCTTCCTCGAAGAAGAACCTGCCGTGTCTGAGCATCCTTCACAACATACTCATACGGGTGAAACTCAAGAAAAACATCGTTATCTCGTGTAAACTGTGAAACAGAAATCAACTTCTTATTGATGTTAGGAACATGTAGCATGTTACGCAAAACTAGAATACAAAGAGCTTTGTCCTATATGAGAAATTTTAATGCCATCACCATTACCCATGTGCAAGGCATTATCACCAGTATACACCATACCTGAGTGAAAGACTGACTGATCATTAGTCACATGGTGGGTCGCACCAGTGTCAGGGTACCAAACAACATCATTTGTAGGCTTCAAAAGAGATTGGACACCCGAGGATGGAAGCATTGAAACAAAGGCTGTAGGTGTTGGTGGTGCCAAGAATGGATTCTGGCCTACTGCAGAAGGATTCGAAACATCATTAGATGAACAAACTGAAGCTCCAGAAGACGGATAGTAGCCAAAGGCTGTTGGGGAGCAAAATGAAGCACCAGGAATTATAGAACTGACTGGATATAGATAAGGGGAAGGGGCAGGAACAAAGCCAGGGTATGACACCGTGTTTACTGCATGATTATATCCCCGTACAAATGATTGATGCTGATCAACACTCGAATCATTTGGTCGTTTCGAATAATTTGCAGTTGAAGAATTAGAGTCACCAACACCAGTGTAATCACGATCGAAACGATGATAACATTTCTGCACTACATGTCCAAACTTACCACATAATTGACACTGTGGTCTGTTGGAGTTATAACTCTGTCCACGACCTCGTCCTCGATAACCACCTCCCTGCTGGTCACGCACTTGAGAGGAAAGATCATCAGCGGAATCTTTAACACTCAATTCACCATCAGACTTCAGCTGAACAACATTGGCTGAGAGTCCTTCACCCAAGAACATCTTCTGCCGAGCTTCACAGTCAAGCAACATTTCGATGAGAGTGTCTAATGATACCTCTTCCCTGGAAGCTATAGCAATTACTGATTCAAATTCCATAGTTAGGCCTGCAAGAATGACACTAACATGTTCTTGCTCAGTTACAATACTTCCAGAAGCATTTAGTAAGTCACAAACAGCTTTGACATTTGCTAAAAATTCATGAATAGACAAGCCAGACTTCTTTTGCAAGTGCAAAGTATGGCGAAGCGATGAGATCTTCGCACTAGATCATGCACCAAACAAACATGTCACGGTATTCCAAATAGCAGCTATAGATGTAAGGCCAGTGAGGTGAGGCAGAATCTCCATGCTTACCGTAGTTAACAGCCAGGAGGCAAGCAACTTATCTTGCTGCCTAAAAGCCAAGAACTCTGGATTTTCCTCAATCTGACCAGCATCATTGGTAAGAAATTCACTTGGAACAACTATATTAGGCGAAATAAACTTCAACAAGCCATAACCATCAATGATTAATGACACTTGATGCTTCCATAACAAATACGTATTTTCAGTGAGTTTAACTGTATCGTGTTTGGGTATATGCTGAATGGAGCCTACACGATTGACAGTGCAGCTCATAGGGGAGTTGATTTGTGAACCATTCTCTTCACGAGTCGGATCAGCCATAAGTTCAACCATATTGAGCAAGAACATATGCACAAATCTGAACTTCAAGAGAAAAAAAAACGTACCAAATCAAGAAACACAGAACGATGAAGCAAGGAAGATAAAGGACGAACACCTGGGCTTCATGATGGCAGCAGGAAGTCACACGACAGCAGCACCAGGAATTAGCGACTGATACCATGTTATGATAGAAACCCAACTATTACTTATAAAGAAAACAGTAGAGAAGAATAAGGAAAACTCTGTATTTCATTTAATCAAATCTTGCTATCACAAAATGGAGTCTTGGTAGCTCATTTATATCAACTGATTAACCATGCCAGCTGATTAACAACTTCCCTTAACTAACTAGTAACAACACTCAACCAATTCTTAACAACTTTAGTTACAACTACCTTTACACTAACGTTTATACACTAACAGATTTCGAGTTCTTAGGAAACCGAACCGGGCAGCCGTATACTGTCCAAACCAACATCTATGCTCATGGAAAAGGTGATAGAGAACAAAGGGTTAGTTAACCTCTTGTTTGATCCTGCTACAGATTTCCATACTTACACAATCATGTGGAACCATCTTCATATTGTGTAAGTTTTGATAGGGCAATAATTAATGAGATAGAAAGTGTTAATTGTGTAAGATTGACCTTGGGCTGTGTTTTTTCATAGGTTTTATGTTGATGAAGTGCCGATCAGAGTGTATAAGAACACTGAAGCAAGAAATATCCCATACCCAAAAATGCAGCCTATGGGGGTGTATTCAACACTGTGGGAAGCCGATGATTGGGCAACAAGGGGAGGCCTAGAGAAAATTGATTGGAGCAAAGCTCCTTTCTTAGCTTACTACAAGGACTTTGACATCGAAGGGTGTCCGGTTCCAGGGCCAGAAAACTGTGCCACCAACGCCAGAAACTGGTGGGAAGGCACTGCTTATCAAGCTCTGAATGCCATGGAAGCTACGAGATACAGGTGGGTTCGAATGAACCACATGATCTACGATTACTGCACTGACAAGTCGCGGTACCTGGTTACTCCACCGGAGTGCATGGCCTGCATCTGAAACACCATCTAAAGTTTCCTTATCCAACTCAACTGTCCAGAATATATGATATATCACGTCATACTTGACGTATATGTTTCTCCATTTGTACCATAATATAATAGTGTAATATATGTCATAGGAGGACCATGCAAAAATTCAGGTTATGAAAGGGAAGTAAATTGGTCTTGTGTGCAAATTATTTATGGACCAGGATTGTGCAAAATTCAATTCCTATTTGCAGAGAATGTGTATATCTGTATCTGGTGCATATTACTATGTGCCCGATAAAAAAAATAGTCAAATGTATAATTATTTAATTGAACTTTTTTTTTAAAATTTTTCCATCAGATTCTCAGTTTTCAGACCCAACTATATAATTTGATTCATTTTAGTCGTCCCAGAAATGACTAAAATCCGGACGATGGTCCCACTTTTCCTCTTTCTTTGAAAGTGGAGTTTCCGTACTTCGAAACAGCTGGCCAAATACTACCCAATTTGATATTCCATCCGTCTCAAAAAATTCGTCTTTTTTATTTTCAAAAATTTATATCATTCAAAACTTAGTATTAAAAAGTTAATAAACAATACTTATATTTTATTTTTTACTTTTATATATTATATTTTTATACTTATCAAAATAAATCTTTTAAATCTATTAATTATCTTTTAGAGATAATTTTATTTTTTAGTCAAATATATCTCTTAAAATTATGTGAATAATCAATATAAGACACAAATTATAAGACGTAAAGAATATCATAATTTTACAAATTTAACAAAAAGACAAACTCTTGTTAATAATAACTAATAATAATTTTATTACTTCATCATGAAGGTATAATATCAAAATTAACTCTTGACATTTATTAAAATTATCATTTTTTGTCTTTATTTTATTTTTTTGGAGTATTTTGACCGTTCCATTTTATTTTAGGACAAAATGATCTAACATTTGACAGAAAAATCATTGTTCCTTATTCTTTTTTTTTAGATATATTAGACCATGAAATTTTATTTTAAGTTAAAATATTCCTATTTCAGAGCATTAATTATGTGTAAACTAACTAAATTTGACGACTTGCAATGGCATGAGATGTCTGCTTTGAATCAACAATTTGAAGAAACCTGTCAATCTCTTCCAAAGTAGACCAGAATCCTTGAAGCTTCTCCAGATGTTGCACAGGAAGGAGAACTCCCAAGTTTTAACAATAGTAAAATTCCATGGCCACAAAAAAATGATTTGAAGCAAACAGGAACTATTTTAGGTTAAAAAATGTTGAAGAAAATACCTGCTCAAACTGTTGTACCGAGTTTTTCAGTCTTTACTTCATTGACCGGTCTAAATTGTCGATGTAGGGAACATCCTAAGGACAGAACAGAGGAAGTCTAAAAGACATCTAAACCTACATTGGAAGAATTGGGACAAAAACCAAACCGCTGAAACCATTGGAGGAACTTTAGGATAAGCTTTATCCAACTCAATTTCCAGAACATGCACTCTTCCCTTCATATCTCTACCGTCAAAATGTATGATGAGTGTTTACAATTGACACTTTTTGCTTGTCAATTCTATTGTTTTATCAACTTTTCACTACTGATTTGGTTGTGTTTCACTTATTTTCCGTGCAGAAAACATGTTTACTCGAAATGAAAGCAAAAAGGCGCATTTTGTAACTTTTTGTTGTTTTCTGATAAAAAAATTGATGTTGGTATGGATATTGTTTTAAATTATAGTTGGGAGGAAGGATCGGCCTGTGGCGTATTCGACTTCCTGTAAACACATTTAACGGTTGTCCGCTAAGGGAAATCGAGATCGGGTTCGATTCACGACGAGACAACATAATTCGAGTCGAGTCTTTCCAGTACTTAACTCCGATTGTTTTAACGGCAATAGTTGTGGTTAATCCACTCAAGAATCATCTTTCGAAGATAGACTTGGGAAGATTGGTTACTAGAGAGAAATACAAGTTACAATGGGTTGGGCCTTGTAGACTGTAACTGACATGAATCCCAGAGTAAAAATATATTTCGATGATCAAACAGAATCAAATCAAAGCTAGCTTGAGGTGATTTTCTCTTTATTATTTTTAATCTTTATTTACCACTTTCATTTATTTTACTTCAGTTTTTTACTTTCGTTTATTTACTTTGATAAAAACTTTCGTTTATTTACTTTGATCTCTCACTCGCAAAAACCCCTTTTCTAATTTATTTTTCTTGTAGTTGCCTAGACTGAAATCGATAATAAATCGCATTAGGAATTTCTAAGTCTCTATGGATCGACTCTCTTTCACTATACTATATTTATTTTTATTTCTTTTATTTGAGAAGAGGTTTTATTTTATTTTGACGAGTAAAACGATGCTTGTCAAAATTGGCATCGTTGCCAGAGACTTCAACAAATTAATGATCCATTTTTTGTTTTGATTTTATGACCAGGAAGCATCTCGAACAAAACCTGTAGTCTGAATCAGGTCGTCGAGCTAAATGACGTTAAACAAAAGCGCTTTAATGGGAGGCAACCCATTTTTGTTTTCGTTTTGTTTTGTTTTGTTTCTTTTATTTATTTTTATTGAGTACTTATTTGCGTTTACTTTTTTTTTATTTTTTAGGTACCCTAGTGCTTTTATTCGAACTTGAATTGAGTTGAAAGCAATATTTTCGATCGAAAAATGTAATTTTTGGACCCATAAGTAATGAGAGTCGTGCGCAACAGTAAGGTTTTCTCCTACCGTTTTAAACCAAAACTCTATCATTTCTTTTAAATCACAAACTCTCCCAATTAAATTTCTTGGCCCCATACTTTTGTTTTCCATAAAACCATTCTAGAAGTAATTCAATTACTTATCTTTGTGTTTTCCCCCAATTTCAAACACCCTTTGACCGGTTATTTTAAATGCCATGGACCCTATTTTCTCTCTCCCCCTCAAACCTTTCCAAACCCAATCAAAATTCTTTCTTTTTGATTTCCCTAAACCCCACATTTTAAAAAAAACTCAAAACCTTTTGCTCCCTAACTTGTTCTTTCTTTCATTCTTTCGATTGCACAACTTCACTTATTCTTCCTTCCTTTCTTTTATTTTTCAATACCAAGCCACACCTTTAAATAAACCAAACTGTTGTTGTTTATCACCTGGTCTTCGATTGGCATTTGTTCTTCGTGTCATCACTGATTGCATCAGTCTTTGCTCCGTCTCTCTTGCTTGCACAACGCTGATTTTTACTTTTCACCAATCTATCACCTCAGGTTCTATTTTCTTCTATGATCTTTGTAGCATCTAGATGAGACTTGCATAATAGCCATGGCACATACGAGAAACCAAAAAGACGACGATTATCTTTCGTCAATTAATCGCGGATGCCATCGCCCACTGCCAGATTAGAAAATTTGAGGTAAATAAATAAGTTTATTTTGTTACCCATTGCCGATGGTATTTCTCTTTCAACAGTCAACGGAATTGAACATCCCCTTTCGCCATCATCGACAATGAACATGGGGAGTATTCTTTACCATTTCTTTTGCTATTTAATTTTTATTTCTGTATTGGGGCAATACAATTAAGTGAAGGGGTAAAGGTTGCATCAGATTCCACCTAATTGTCCTTTATTTTGCTTGATTGAATCTTTGATTGAATTGGTTGATTACTTGATTTTCTTCTTCTTTCTGTCGACTATTACAAGAACGATTGTGGTTATTTGAGCTAATGAAATTGCCTTGAATTTTGACATCCTTGATAGTTGAATTGTATGAGTAGAATGATATTTGATGATCTTTGTGACATTTCTTCATCTTGTTGATAGGTTTTTTTTGCCTAGCTTGATTCATTGACATACTTTGTGAGATTTTGAGCCTCGAGCATGTTTATCTTCTTTTTTATGCTCTCTTTCTTTCTTAAGTGTGTCGAATAAGATTTTGGTAATCTAGAACTTTTGGCATAATACATTTTGAGACTGCATGTAAAATAGGTTGCTTGATATGACTTAGGCATTAGGATTTACCCCCATTTTTACCACATAAAAAGCCTTCCCTTATTCTTTTCCATTAGTGAACCCACTTGAGCCTTTCTTCCATTTCTTTGGTTTCACCCCTTGCATGCCTTTATTTTCCCTATCTTCCACCCGTGTCAAGACAAAGAATATGAAACGAAAACATAGTATGATCATGTCTCGAAAAAAATTCAGTTTCAAAAAGAAAAGAAAAAAAACAGCAACATTCGAAAAATAGAAACAACATAAAAATTCGAAAGAAAAAAAGAAAAAAAAAGGGAAAAAATTGTTTGATTCCTTTGATTTTGTGTTGATGTACATATTTGTTGCTTCATTTGCTCGTGGACTTGATCAATTTATTGAAGCATTCTTTGTCTTTACCTTTAAAACTCTATTTTTAGCTTTTTCCCCCACCATTACCTAAGCCTCGTTACAACTATCTAAAAGACCTAATGTGTAACACCCCCAACCCGTACCCGACCCAAATATGAATCTGAGGTGTCACATTGACTTTTCAAAACATGTACATTTACAAAAACTATGGGAAATTTAAACTTTCATTATCATAAAGTTAACATTTTACATAATTGAGTTCAAAACATTACAAAATTGATCAGAGTATATGTATTTTACGACTATATTTACATGCCAACACATCTATTACATAACCAAAACATATTGTACAAAGTACTTCTGATCTCATCTTCAAGTGGAGATATGTTGCTCTGCTGATCCTAAGATTGGTCCTCTTGTTTTCCTGTACCTACGTGTAAAACACTTACACGCTAAGTCATAGACTTAGTGAAGCATATACATATAATAAGGAATTTCTATAAATATGAACATGCAATCAACTATCTAATGACAATTATGCTTATCATAAATCCACAATGCCATATATGAATCAATATAAACAATAATAACATGTTAAAATGCAAACATGTACATACTATTTACATCTTTTATAAGCTGATGTACATTACTGAGAACTCAAGGTATACGAGTACTTTAAGGTTGTGCTTACATATACTTTCACCACAGCTCGTATAAAAATCCACTAAGTGGCATATGAAATCTATATCCCGAAGGAACTATCCATATGTTCCGAA